AGAAACAGCCACGCTGAGCATACAGAAAGTATGCCAGGTTCCAATCCAATGTCTTCCTCAATACAAATACTTTTTGTCTTGATGGTCCATCTGGGTCTTCTGTGGAAAAATCTGCATGCAAGAACAGCAGGGAATCAGTGCATGATTCTCATAGGTTTTCCCCAAAAAACCTACTTGGGTTTTCTGCCTGATAAAATGTTTTCCACTTGGCGTACCTCATCCACAAGAGACATTCCAAAAGGACACCTGTGGAGGATACATGTTTCAGCAAAGGAGAACAGAGTAGTCCAAATTCTGAACTAAAGAACTCCAAATTCTGCACTCAGAATAAAGCATACAAATGTGCATAATGCTTTATTTGCATGATTTATTTCGATTTGCTTGTCTTGGCATGGAGTGGCTGAAAGGCACAGATGCAATGAGAAAATCGGAAGATGGGGAGGAGATAAAAAGTTATACTCTTATACGCAAAGCTATACCTTTGCTTTGGGGAGCAAGCACAGTGATGCCCAAATGGGTACTCGTGGGCAGCATGGTACCTGCCAAAGCGTTTTGTGGAACCGGTTGCTTCTTCCTAAAAACACCTCTTCCCCAAAGCAAATAACCAGTCCTAATATTCTTCACCTCAATGGAGCACAATGTGCTTCAGAAAAACCCAGGAAGTATAATCTTTGAGTCTGCAGGGAGAAGCCTTTTGCAAATAGTTAAATCATAGATTAACACTTGGCTTGGAACCTCCCGACGGTTCTTAACTGTCCCCCATGGCATTCATTTTGTGATTGGCCCCAACTCTGATGGCAGGCATGTCTTGGTGGTACCTACTACTTTTTTCTCACGATTCTAGAAGTCTCCACTGGCTCATGAAGACTGGGGACTCCTGCACTACAAGCTCTCTCTTTTAAACCAGCAACTTCCTACAAATGCTGATGTCCTCAAAAGCCAATGTGTAAAGCAAGAACTTTTCCTCAGAGTGGCTCATCCAGGTGTATACAGTCCCCTTCCTTAATGCCCCTGCGGTGGCTCAAGTGGTTAAGACGCTGAACTGCAGGCTGTGGAAGGTCAGTAGTTCAGCGGTTCAAGACCCGGGTGCCGCAAGACAGGGTGAGCTCCTGTCTCTAGCTCCAGCTCCTGCCAACCTAGCAGTTCGAAAGCAAGAAATTGCAAGTAGATAAATAGGGACCACTTCGGTGGGAAGGTAACAGCGTTCCGTGCGCCTTGGTGTTTAGTCATGCCGGCCACATGACCACGGAAACGTCTTCGGACAGCGCTGGCTCTTCGGCTTTGAAACGGAGATGAGCACCGCAACCCTAGAGTCGGATTCGACTGGCTTTCGAGCAAGGGAACCTTTACCTTTAATGAGACCATTGGTGATCCGCTGAGTAAGTGTTGGCTATACAAGCTGAAAATTGCCTCAGGGCAGCTTTAACCTACACTTCCAATTTCACCAAGATATTCAAGAGCTTTAGGAATGAAAACATAGTCTACTTGTCAAATGCTGACCTCGGACTGGCATGCACTCCTTTTTTTTCCTCTCTCCTTGCAGAAACTACTTTATGAGGTGAAACATTACTACAGTGACCTCCTTTTCTCACTCTATATTTAAGAACATTCTGGGTCACAGAAGTTATCAGAAACTGCAGTTGCCACTCATTGGCAGGCAAAAAGAAATATGTCTTTACTCAATACATAATGATATTGTGGAATTCACTGCAAGGGGATGTAACGATAGCCATGACTATGTTGTTGCTGTTGTTGTTGTTCAGTTGCACAGTCGAGTCCGACTCTTCGTGAACCCATGGACCATATCACGTCATGACTATAGATAGCTTTAAAAACATAAAGGAACAGATCCGTGGAAGAGAGGTCCATCAATGGCTATTAGCAATGGTTACTAAAGAGAACCTCCATGCTCAGGGGCAGTGTATTTCTGAGTATCAGTGCTAGGAGGCAACTTCCTCCAGAGCAACTGACTGGTTGCTGTGTGAAATAGAATGCTGGACTAAATGGACCACTGGTCTGATTCAGCCGGATGAGCCACACATCTCTTAAAAGTATACCAGTTCAATTTTGTATTGCTCTGTCTACAATACAAATAAACCAGTTTTGAAAACCAATTTAGCAGAACAATGACAATAACTGACCCCTGAGGGTGCTAATAATCTGTTCTCAGATTCCCTAGGTTCCTTAGGAGAACTACAGGACCCAAGAATCATACAGAGAAAAACTGAACCTGGTTTTACTTTTCTGATCTCTACACATTCTTTTCCCTTCTTCCCTTCAAGGCTTACTCCCACTGAAGCTAACCACACTTTCATCTGATTACTGTATGCAAGATTTTTGTTCGCTTTATCTCTCCTGCTGTTATCACGTAGACAAAGTAAATGCATCTAATTTAACGGTCAAGATGAGATACCTCAAGATTTGGGTAAGATTTGTCTTCTTACCTAATCCAGACATGAGTCTGCTTTGGCACTGTGGGCTGTCTTTTACCCTGAGGGGAAAACCTGGGCGATGATTAGTCTGTGGGAAAAGCTGCCTCAACCACTTTTTTCACATTTTCTGGCTAAAGCCTAGAGAAGGGAAAGGAAACACTGTCCCTTCCCCAGGAGCTCTACAGATAGGTAATTCAAAGGAGAAAACTTGGCCCAAGTTTACATCTGGTCCTGTGATTCGCCTGCAAATGCCAGGTTTGAAAGTGAGGATTCAGCAATTTGAGTTCTTGCAGCCCAGACTATAATAGTCCGTGTCAGCTCACACACCTGACAGACATCAATAGGAAGCTAAGGTAGAATGAACAATCTAGACGGTTCACTTTGCAGAGTAATTACAGGAGAAGCAACCACTTCTTTCAGGGGAAAGACCAGTGTGTGTGGGGGGGGGGGTCTTGCTCGTCTACAAAACTCTATTCTCCCAGATTATCATCACACTGGCAAAATGGAGGCACGGGAACCTGCTGATGGGACTGGATGCGCCCATACTCTAGTGGTTTCCCTCAGGACAGTCAGATCTTCAAAGGCTGCTCATTAGCCCAAGGAACTAAACCTTCCACAGAAGAGAATCAACTGAGGCCTACAAAGCAAGAGTTTTCCTCACAGCTCCCTCAAGTTTCAGCCACATGATTTCCCACCACCACCACCACCAGCTACTAATAAAGGATTGCGTTCACAGGTCTTTCAAGAAGTGTCTTTCCCACTTTTAAAAGGAAAAGAGGAGACAGACAGACAGAGACAGACAGACAGACAGACAGACAGATGGGCCATCCCGGCAGTTGACAACACAAAACATGCTGTACCTGCAAGGTTCTCCTGCTTGGGGCAAATTCCTTTCGTAGGTGTGAGAAGACGGTCTTCTTCATCGGGTGTGACTTGGATCCCGATTTCCACTGGCTCTGACACTTTCCTGAGCTCGGCGCGCGACGAAGGGGGAGGACTGCTCTTATCCAGGTTCTTTTCATAGCAGATGCCACCCGTGCCGTTGCACTGCTTCTTCTTGTGCTCTATAAAAACCAAGATGTCTCCCAGGGGGAAGTTCATCTGACACTGTCCACAGGTTAATAAGTCGGGGTCTGCTCCGCCCGCCGCAATGCCGAGGCCGACTGGATCCCCGAGCGCTAGGCTCTCTTCCTCGTGGCTGATGGCCGCTTCCACATGGTCAGCCTCTGCTTTATGTGGGTAAGCAGAATAAAAGATGAGGGTCGGGGAAAAGGGGCGGGAAAAAACAGAGGAAAGAATTGAGAGCAATTTGTTTAAAGATTTATAAGACCTGAATGAGAACAGGATTATTTTTTTTCTAAAAACCTGATAATATCTGTGCTCTGTTCCCCCCCCCCCCCCAATCTCCACAAATGATTTAAATACATTTTGCAACCCAGGTCTGTCTGCAAAACAAAATAGGTAGATCTGATGTGGCTTTCCTGTCTGAACCTTCCACCTACCCCACAGCAACGCATACATAAGTAGTAAAGACCTGTTATGAGTGCGTTGAGAACTGTAACCGGTATGATCCGGTGGACAGGAAAATAGACAGGAACAACCGTTCAAGTCCTAACAGTTCAGAGCCACGGACCCTACTGCGCGACCCCCTACCCAAGTCACTCATTCTTAGCTTCACTTCCTTCATCTATAAAACAGAAACAATACTGATCTACTTGACAGAAGTGTTGTAGGGATACAAGAGGGTTTTTTGATACATTTGGCACATTAAAAACGTTACTAGTACAGAAACCACCTTGGGTATTCTCGGAACAGCAGTCTTCAAAATAAACCACTCTGCAACACCTTTCCCCCCCCCTTTTTACAACTGACAATGCAATCCAACACAGAATTCCATCTTTCTAAAGCAAGTGAAATCAATGAACTTAGAAGAGCATTAACTCTGCTTAGGTCTGCAGTGTAAGTCTTGTTACACCTATTATCCTTTTACAATTTGTCTCATCTTCCTGTTTCTGCTATCCCTCCCTCCTTCTCACCAACCCCAAAATGTTTATTATATTGGATACACTTCAGGTGGGGCCTGGAGATCTCCCGCTTTGACAACTGATCCCCAGCTGACAGAGATCACCTCCCCTGGAGAAAATGGCTGCTTTGGAGGGTGGACTCTATATGTCATTGTACCCTGCTGAGGCCCCTCCCCTCCCCAAACCCCACCCCCAACCCAGGCCTGGCAACCCTAATACACTTCCACTACCTGCTACCACCAACCCAAAGCCTGTACTAGCGAGTGTTTGGCCAATGCAAGAATAGCCAGGATCGGTCTCCTAGAGATAGCCTCAGGGCTGAAAGAAAAAGAACTGGTGCTGGAATGTCCAAAGCATTTGATGAGAAGTAAGCACCTGTTCAAAATACCTGGGCAGGAAAGGCCACCTTTGAACAAGAGATGCATCTGCATAGGCCTCAATGAAAAATACACACGCTTCTCTGCAGCTGAACAAAACCTGTTCATTTATAACTTCAAGGCAGGCTGTTGCCATCTTTAGGCCTCATTGGACATGCAGGCCTCATTCAAAAGGCAGTTTGGCCTGAACTTCCAGTGAAAGATCAGTTTGGCGTGAACTTCCAGTGTGAACAGAGAAGGCCACAATACTTTTGCGGCTGTCTGGGCCTGCCTTTCCTTACAAAAGGAGACAATCCCAGGGAAAGAATTGTTCATCACTGCTGCCTACGCAAATTAACCTGTGTTGCGGGAAGGTGGAGGGAAAGTCTCCTGGAGCTAGGCTCCCCGTGCAGGTCATGGCCAGCTTCGGGAATGAGTCCCCACCCCGTTGCCAGGGCAGGCAATCTCCAGACAGGTAGCAGGTGTTGGCTGGATTCACCTTGGGTGGGAAGAGACACTCTTTTTTGTCCCTGCTTTCCCTTCAAACTACATATAGACAAACACAAACAATGCGCCTGGCTGAACTAGTGGTCGTACAGCCTGGATGACCTCCTGCTCACCATGCGTGGCAAGCAGTGGCCGTTTTGGAGTGCACCTCAGGAGGATCGGCATCTCATTTGACTAACCTGAGTACTTTCTCAACTGACAGCTGGGATGAAAACATATCTATCAAACTCTGAGGGGCTCTAGCTAGTCCAAATAGATCAATTGATTTTTAATATTACAAGCACAAGGCTGTGTTATACTGCCGCGTAATATGCAGATCACTAGTACCTTATGTACAAGCATGTGCACAGGTTTCCACAGCTACTTTTACAGGGAGAAGGTGCATGGAGGTCAGAGTCACCACACACAGACACACACACACACACGACGATTATGCATATCCAAAAACCTCATCTAACTGCAGAAACCTGTTTCGCAATCAGATTCCATTCTCTGCACTGGGATGTAAAAATTCATTTTTAAGGTGCTAAATTCTTTCTGGATTGCAGCCTAAATTTTCAACTCTGCACATAATTAGGTGTGATTTTCAAGAAAATATGTCTGCAAGCCCAGTTGGGAGTTAGTCCTATTGAAAGCGATGGGACTTACTTCTGTGTAAACGCGAGACAGTCAGGCTGTAGGACTGCAGGTAACACCTTTTTCAAGAGTAACAGCAGCAGCATGTAGGCAGTTACTAAGCATTTTCCTATTAGGCAGCAGTTCTGTTGTGTCACACACACTCGCCTCCCCCCCACCCCCAGTATCTGCTGAACCCAAAACGGCAACAGTCTCTCAAACACCCTTTTTTTAATCTTCTTTTCAGTTAATCTGCAGGCAGCCCTGATGGCTCAGGAAGAAGTTAACTTGAACAAACAGCTGAGATGAGCAACCACATTTAATCAACCAAAAGCAAAAATTAACAAAAATGCAAACGATATTGCAAATTAAACATTTTAAACAAATGGAATTAAGCCCAATTTTATTTGGCAAACCTACAGCCCAACCCTGTGCATATTTAAGTTGAAGAATAAGTCCCACTGAATTCAACAGAACATAAAGATGACAGCCTCCATTTCTTAGTCTCATCAAATTATCTTGGGATGCAGTACTAGCAACACTATAAATTCTCAGATCAAAATTCTCAATGGGTTTTTGTGAAACTTAAAAATCAGATAGAGCTCCAATTACCTACATGGTCTGAAGGGACCCCCCACACACACAAATAACTGTATGGTTGCTCTGAAAGAGGGCTATGTGACACCTCTTGGTCAATTTAAATAAACAGGTATTTGGGAAAACTTAGGTTCACAAAACATACGAATGCAAACTATGCAGCTTATTCACAGGATGCCATGCGATGAATTTGAGGGGGGTATTTATGTCCACTACAGTGTAATTGAAAAACCACACGAAACCCAGTCTTCAATAAGGTAGAATTCCCATTGGCTGGCAGGGTTTTGCTTTGAAAACATTTTTTTTATCATTTGGCGTGATCAATACACAAAGAACTAACAGCATGTAAATAAAAGAGATGAGCCACCGAAGTTTTATCAAGAGAAGGGAACAGTAAAGCTCTGTGGGGCGAAAAACCCAACACATGGAAACACTGGCATTGGTGATTCGTTTCCGAATTTCCTGGAGACCAAAAAGCAGCAGGACAAAGTGAAACACTTGTCATAATTCTGAATTGCCACTGCTGAAGAGAACACAGGAATTTGGCCCTAATATTTAAAAAGAACGGCAGGCACCAACATGGTTTTTAAAGAGGGAAAGCTCCTATCTAACTAGGAGGCCAATTTCACAGTTTCAGCTGAGAAAACGATTAGAGGTCAAAACAGACCCAGCTTCTTTTTCCAAAAGAAATTGTTAATTAGTACATGAATCATACATATCATAATCTGCATCACTGCCCACTAAGCATATGCATTACATGTATACACACACACACACGTGAAGTATCAGATCTTGGCGCTTGTTACATTCACAGCGGTTCACATTACGGCCCACGCCATCGCCCTTTACAATCCACAGAGGTGTGCGAACGTACAGAATAGAAGACACACTTATACAAAAGCTTTTGAGTTTGCTGCACTTGCTTGCAGCCAAATTAATCCACTAGGTAACTCAACTCCAGGCATAATGCACGGTGTGCGAAACCCATTAATTACTTCCCCCCCAATCCCTTCCTCTAAGTTTACTTTAAAAGCAGTCGGTAGACAATGCGACGTAATTAATTTACCAATTTATTTTATGAAAAGACGCTTTGCCATCGTGAAAATGTAATCATAACCCTGGCGCTGAGCGGGAAGTGAGTGGATTTCTGTGCGAATGGTTTGTCACAATGCAAAAGGTAATTATTTAGTGCTTCTGTTCCCTTTAATGATCTAACATTGAGCAATACTGTTTATATTGAAGAGAGCTTGCACCTTTAATTACCAATTACATATACATAATTTTAGAGCCAAAAGGGAAAGGGAGAAAAAATACCAGTGCCGTGAAAAGGCTCCTTTAGACATCGTGCGCACTGATTCTCAAAAAGAATCCCTTTTAGGTGGAAGCAGACTGTCAAAATATTAAAACACGCACACGCCAGAAGAGATAAGGTAAGGAACTGCAAGTAGAGTCAGCAGCACAGCTGAACTGAGCCAAGGTACAGCCAAAGAACACAGCAGAGAGCCTGGAGAAGCCAGGAGGTGGGCAAGAGGAAATCCAAAAATGCCTCTTAGTAAATTCCTGTAACCATCCCGCCCTGCCTTGCAGTTCGATATGCATATCAAATTACACCGGCTTCATTACAGCAAATATACTGATAGTTTGGGGGATTTTTTAAAAATCCTTTTTTAAAAAACATCAGAATTATTTTTTTAATGGGGAAAGAAACTGAAAGGGGGGGAGGAAGAGCAAAAAGAAGTGAAAAAACACCACAACCCTTGCTAAGCTTCTAGACCCTCTCTATGAAGCACCAAAATCTCCTTCAGTTGTCGGCAACTGAATTGTTCCAAATTTTCTTTTCATTTCTCTAACTAATAGTTTAAATAGCCTCAGAAGGAATATATATGAAGTTTTTTAACAAAACAAAAAAAGAATGCCTTCCGTATTTTGCAAGGCAGTTCAGGAATCAAGAGTTCTTAAGCTCCCCGGTAGCTTCCCCCCTCCCTTTATCTACCCAGCTTGGCATCTCTTACTGCGATGGTCTCACTTGCGTTTGACCGTAATTAGTTAAAGTCTGCCTGTGCCCATTCATATGGAATCCTCCCCTCCCCCTCTGCCCCCACCCAAGCAGTCTGCAATGGCATTTTTTTA